GTTTCACTCTGAAAAAGATTATGGATGAAGTCAGATTCTCAAAGTAAAGTAACACCTTCCTTATGCAATCCTTCCTCTTGGTGACTGAGTCAGTGGATTGATCTTAGATTTTTATATCTCAATAGAAATGTGGCATTTCCCCTGCTAACTACCGTCTTGCAGTGTCTTGAGTCACTGGTTTCTCCTGGGGAGCACTGGTTGTGGATTCAATATCATTTCAACCAAAAATGTCCTATTCAAGTCAGAACCTAGACCAGTCTGAAATAGTTTGAAATGATATGCAATATTGGCCTCAGAAAATATGGAAAAGCATTCTCAAAAGATTATTTTTATTTATTGAAACAACACCTTTCTCTAAGAATGTGTACTGAACTCACTTTATGGGTACACTCTTATTAATCCTTTGAGTTCTCAGAAAGAGATGGTCAGAGATTTTGACATTCCTGTTCTGAAAATAATTTAGAGGGGATCTGAAGACTTCTGATTTTTCCAAAATTAACTTTTAAAAACCAATACAGTGGTAAATGTATGCTTATATTCTGTGAATAGTATAAGAGCATTTCATCTCGAGGATAAGAGTATTTCGTTTATTATAGTCAAGTATTAATCATAGTATAAGAGCATTTCATTTATTATGGTTCAGACAGAATCAAAGCTGATACAAAGGAACAGAGATTAAAAAGATCTGAATGGGTAAAATAAGGCCAATTACTAGATCATTAGCTAGATCAACTACAGATATCACATACAAACTAGATTGTAACTATCTATGCCACTTCAATAAATAGAAGCAGTTATTATTACTATTAAAACTATTGGTGTTGGGCTGGGGTTGTGGCTCAGTGGTAGAGCGCTTGCCTAGCACATGCGAGGCCCTGGGTTCGATCCTCAGCACCACATAAAAATAAATAAATAAAGATATTGTGTCCAACTAAAAAAATAAATAAATATTAAAAAAAAAACTATTGGTGTTGGTTTTATTATTCTCTGTGAAATTAAAGGGATGTAAGGAGGACAACAAGATTGGAATCTAATAAAATTTTACCACTTGTGATCAATCCATGGGTTACTGGGAAATCACCTAGTTTCTTAGAATCTCACTTTACTGATCTACAAAATATAAATAATACACAATATTTTTATTTAAAATAATACTTGTTGTTATCTATGATAACAACCATTATTATTTACAATAATTATTATAAGAGGGATGTTGGAAATATTAAATGATAATTGACATCTAGTAGAATAATAACATCTTTCTGTATGCTATTTATAATATCTGACATATGAGTATGCTTGTAGCAATCTCAAAACCAATCTATTAAATAATAATAGGTAAAAGTATTGCACATAATTTTTATGTTACAAGGGAGTTTTAGTCATTTGAAACTCATGTAGTGTTAGAAGAAGTTCTAAGATATAGAGAAAGAGCATAGATGTTGGGGGGAGCAAAATTTTACATATGTGTGTGTATGCAGAGAGAGAGGGGGCAGGGAGAGTGTTACTATTGAGACTGTCTCTTTAGTGGAGAAAGCTAACCCCTAAGTTGGTTTTCAAAGGCATTTTCTATCTTATTTCAAGCCCAGGTATCATTTGTCTAAATTTATTTATTTGTTTTTCTTGTGGATATTCAGTTGTTATAGCATCATTTGTTAAAATGAGTTTTTTCTTTTTTTGGGGGGGGCAGATACTGGGGATTGAACTCAGGGGCACTTGGCCTCTGAGCCACATCCCCAGTCCTATATTGTGGTTTATTCAGATACAGTGTCTCACTGAGTTGCTTAGTGCCTCACCATGCTGAGGCTGGCTTTGAACTCATGATCCTCCTGCCTCCACCTCTTGAGCCACTGGGATTATAGGCATGTGCCCCTGTGCCCAGCTCACTTTTTCTTTTCATTTTGTTGCTTTTGTTTTTTGTCAAAGATTAGTTAACTATATTTTTGTGAGCCTATTTCTGGATGCTATATTTTCTCCCATTGATTCATTTGTCTATTCTTTCACTAGCACTCCACTGCCAATGGTTACTGAAGCTTTATTGTAGTCTCAAAGTCAGGTACTGTCAGTAGTTCAACTTTCTTCTCCTTAAATATAGTGTATGCTATTCTAGGTCTTATGCCCTTCTATGTAAGCTTTAGAATCAATTTATCATTCCTCCAAAATAATTTGCAATGATTTTGATTGGAACTGTGTTGATTCTATATATCAAGTTGTTTATAGCATGACATCTTGACAATATCCAGTCTTCCTATCCATGAACATGGAGTACCTCTCCATTTATTTAGTTCCTGTCTGATTTCTTTTATTATAACTTTTGTAGTTTTTCTCATATAGATCTTATACTTACTTTGTTAGATTTATAATTTAGTATTCTAGTCCTAGGGGGTGATAATATTAGTGGGATTATGTTTAAAATCCACTTGTGTATTATTGCTGGGTATATAAGAAAATGATTGACTTTTTATATTAACTTTATGGCTTGCAAAATTGCTGTAATTACTTATTAGTTCCAGGATTTAAAAAAAATAGCTTTTCTTGCATTTTCTGCATAGATAATCATGTAATCTGTGAACAATGACAGTTTTCCCTTCTTTCCTAATCTGTATACCTTTTGTTTCTTTTCTGTTTTGTTACATGAGCTAGGGCTTCTAGTACCATGTTGAAAAGGAGTGATGAGAGGGAACATCCTTTCCTTGTTCCTGATCTTTGCAGGAAAGCTTCTAATTTCATATCATTAAGTATGATATTAATTATTGTATGTTTTTATAAAAAATATTTTTAGTTATAGATGGATGCCGCAGTCTGGCTGGGCACAAATAACTGAGCTGCCACAAAGCCTTGTAGGTTCAAACAGCAACTCTTTATTCCCAAACTCTCACCGGAACTCTATACTCACTTCCAGGGAACACACTCCCTCCACCGGGCTCCGTGCGCCAATTCTCATGGAACCCCGTGAGAACTCAAGGGGAACCCCAAAGTAGTGGACACTCGAGGCAGCAGGATCCTCCCTAATCCCGGAGCCACCCTATTCCCAGAGCAGGGTCACCTTTCAACCATTCCTTCTGGCAAAATGCCAGGCGTTATTCTGACTTAACTGTGGCTCTCAACAGATGGATACAATATCTTTATTTTATTTATTTACTTTCATGTGGTACTGAGTCTCAAACCCAGTGCTTCACATGTGCTAAGCAAGTGCTCTACCACTGAGCCACAACTCCAGCCCCATATTGTATGCTTTTTGAAGATGTTCTTTATCAAATTGAGGAAGTTTTCTTCTATCTTAGCTTGCTTAAAGTTTTTTTTTTTTTAATCTTGAATCAAGGTTGAATTTTGTCAAATGCTTTTTATTGGTCTAGAAGTGTGATCATGCAATTTTTCTTTTTCTGTCTTGTTGCTATGAGAGGTTATATTATTTGCCTTTCAAATATTGAACAAGCCTTGCATATTTGGTATAAATTCCACTTGACCTTGGTGTACAATTCTTTTAATACATTGTTTGACGCAATTCACTAACATTTTTAGTAGTTTTGCATCTACGCTGACAAGAAATATTAGTCTGTAATTTTATTTTCTTATAATGCCTTTGAATGGTTTTGGAATTAAGGTAATGCTGCCCTTCTACAATTAATTAAAAGCTATTCCCTCTCCTTCTTCTTTCTGGAAGACACTATAGGGAGTTGAGGGAATTTTTCCTTAAATGTTTCATAGAATTCAACAATGAACTCAGGTGGATCTGATATTTCCTGGTTTGGAAAGTTATTAATTTAATTTCATTAATAAACATGGACCTATTCAGATGACCTGTTTATTTTGTGTGAGTTTTGGTTGATTGTCTCCCCCAAGGAATTTTTTCATTTTATCTAGGTTATCAAATCTGTGAGCGTAGAGTTGTTCCTATTATTCCTTTTATTATGCTTTTAATACCCATAGGATCTGTAGCGATGGCCTCTATTTCTTTTATTTTTATTTATACATTTAAACATTTTTTTTCTATTTCATTTCTGAAATTAGTAAATTGTTCCTCCCGCCTCCCCCTTTCCCCTCCCCCCACGTCCAGCCCTCCCTTCCTCCCTTAAGTACTTTGGTTAAAAAATAACTGACTTTACTAATCTTTTCAATCTTTATGAATCTAACCTCTTTATGGTGTTTTTGCATCTTCTTGCTTTTTAGATTGTTATGACTTCACAGTGGTGTCATTGTCCTTGTTTCTTTTTATTTAATTGATGAATTTTAACCCATTAGATAAGTTTATTAGAATTTGGTGAGGTGGACTTTCGTAACATTAAAATGAAAAAATGGTTTGAGCTTTCAAAGATTTTTGTTGTGTTTCAGTTCTCTCAACACTATGGAATTCTTGCTTCCCCATTCTCACTGAGTAGGGCTGTTTCATAACCTATTTCCATTTAGGTGAGGTGTTTAATAAAATCTTCTACCTGTTAATATTTACCACGTGCATACAATCTATTAGGTTAATAAAGACTTTAAAATTATTGCATATGGGTTAATAACAAATGCATTGAAGTTAATGTAAGTAGTCCCTGTGTAGGCTTGGGTCCCCAAGCTTCTCTAGAAATGTCATGCAGAAAAGGCTTTTGATTGGTAGTGAACAGCAACAACACAAACCTGAGTGTGGCAAAGGTCTTGCTCTGAGATCACCTTTCCAGCCAGGCTTTCCCAGTCAGCCAGTACAAAGCCTGCTTGTGCTCCTTGAATGCCTGAAGCCCTGATTTACATTCCCCCAAAGACTTGTTAAACCTGACAGCAAAGAAGTGCTAATAGTCAATCTGCCGCATCTGACTAAAACCTGATCTAAACGTCTGTCTCAATGATTCTGTGGTGGGAGAGAAGAGAAAGTTGAAAAAGGACCAACCTTAGCATCCAAGAATGTTTCTGGTATGCATGTTACTGATTTCCAACTAGATAATTTTTAATCGTTGTCAAGGAAGCAATGATATTCTACAATGAAAGCTTACTTAAATTTTCTCTCATTTTATTTCTAGGTGGAGCACCAGTACTCCCATAAATTCACAGTAGTGGTGTTACGTGCCACTAAAGTGACAAAGGGGGCCTTTGGTGACATGCGTGAGTACCTTATTTGCTTTGCTGTTGCAAATGTGTAGTTACGCTTCACCCTTCCTTGCTTTACTTCCTTTACAAGGTGGGGGCTTTCCCTTTTTTAAATGTGGTTAACTTTGAATGATAACCATTGAACAGTTGTCTGATGGTATTATCTGTCAGAATAGCATTTTACTTTGCTTTACATTAGCTGAGAGCATTTGAAGTCAAACAAAATGACCATCTTGGGACACAACAGATTTTTGGAATTCAAAGTTCTGTTTGATTCTCTTTGAAAAAAAGTGCTGAGTCAAGACTTCAAATAGGCTGCCCCTGTGAATGCTTATCAGATTAGAAAATGCAGTTTATCTAATTCGATGACTGTGAGTGTATTTACTCTAATCTTCCCTCATCTTTCTTTTTTCGGAGCTATGGATGGGATAGCTATAAAAACCGTGCAGGACAGTCAGGAATCATGAACCACAGCGTAAAGATAAGGTTACCTTAATTTGTCGGCACAATCCGTCTTTAAGCTTTTAAAAGCAATTTTTTTTTTTTTTTGTTAAGCTGACAATGCAGATGGTTGGGGTTCATGGAGGAGGGACTGCCAAGAAAAAATGAATAAATATTATCATAGTGGATTTGATAAACTTTTAGATTATTGCCAAACTATGAGCCTGAGCAATTGAACCCTCAGAACAAGGTTTGGAGAAAGAAGAAGATTGGGAGTGGGAAACAGGGAAGGCTGCTCTGTGGTATGTTGGAAAAACAAATTGCTTGTCTTGTTTTTCCTCTGCTCTCATACCACAGTCGTGGCAAAAGACTCTGAGACCCATGTGTAAGGATTTCTCACCACCAGCAAGTTAGCAATCCGTTCTGCAGTGGACACCAATGGGGTGTCCTCAAATTCAATTCAGTTCTGACACTTCCTACCTGGAGACGCTGGAGATCCTTCCTGCAAGGTTCCTGTGAGGACTCAGTCTCAAGACTGCTCCCTGCTCCGCGCCCCACTCCTTCTAGCTGTCAGCCGGGAGCCACAGGTTGCTTTACCTGTGCGTCTGACCCCTGGCTGTCAGTAGGGTTCCCATAACCCTTTTCTTAGGTTTGATGATTTGCTGGAGCTCCTCACGGAACTTGGGGAACCACTTGCATTTTCTAGTTGATTATGGAGGGTATTATGGATGAAGAGATGCTCAGGGTGAAGTGCAGGAAGGGGTACTTCTGTGCCTTCCCCAGGCATCACCCTTCGGGAACCTTCCATGTTTACTATGTTTACCTTCCATGACCTACAAGCTCAGCTCTGTCCTCTGGGTTTTTGCAGAGGCGCCATTGCATGTGTTAGGCAATAGACTGGGAGGAGAAACCCAGCAGAGGCTGTGGGCTTCAACAGTCTTCCCGGCATCTCTGTGCAGCATTCCTTCCTCCAGGGCATGGGGTAGGACTCTTCTGGAATGAGGAGAGCCTTAGGACCTACTACTGGACAAGGAGTGTAGACCAGAAAATGTCTTTATGGCCAGCTCCGAAAGAAGAAAGATGAGGGAAGATTAGAGTTTCCTGCCTTGAGAAAGAAATTCTGGTTTCTGTGTCCTACCTTGGGGAAGGAGTTATGAGTCAGGCGCCATGGGCTAAAATCAAGGAATATATATCATAATGTCACACCTGCAGAAGTGACATTTAAATCAGTAGCTGAAGGAAAAATATTTTAGTGGTGAGAAAGGGAATTCACAGGCAGAGAAAACAGGATGTTCAGAGGCAGTAGATCAGAGTGCATGTCAGGAGTTAGGTCCAGTGTTGTTAGAGAACAGAAGCCCAGGTGTTAGCTGGTGTAGGGGACAAGATGAGACGACAAGGACTGGCACTGAGGTTATATTATCTATGCAATGGGGAGAATTTGCTAGCATTTTAGTAGCAAGCCACATGACTGGATTTGCACTTAAAAATGTTCTAGCCATGGTATATAAAATATTAAGTATATTCAGTATTCTGGAAGAGAATGTGGAAAACTTTTATTTTTCAAAGAACAGGAGAGTTATTGTTCTGTGCATACATAAGTATATAACAACAGATCCCACTGTTGTGTATAATTACAATGCACCAATAAGAAATATGGGGAAAAAGAAATAGGAAGGCCCAAGCTTGTCAAAATGGCAGTGAAAACGTCAACAGAGAGGGGAAAGTAGATACCAAGGAAAAGAAGAGTGTGAGCTCTGTTACAGGCTGTCGGTGAAGGTAGAAGAGCATTCAGGAAGTTGGTAAATGTCCAAAGTAAGGAGAACAGGAGCTAGAACCTGATGGCATAAGTTCTGCCTGAGTAAAGGTTTTTATGACAGGTGAGGGGAACCGTGGCGATCTTTTCAAAACTGGCTTGAAGCTGAGGATTATATTCTCAAAAATTTGAGATCTGAGTCCAATTCAGACAATCCACTTTTTTTTTTTGCCATTGTTTTTATTAAGCTACTTTCTTATTTTACTTTTAAGATTTCTTTGCATTTTCATCATTTTAAATGAGATTTCATTGGGAGAAAGGCTTCTGTGAAAAGAGAAGATACATTAGAAGCCCAATTAAAGCCTGCCATCCCCTATGACCTTAAGAAAACACACAAGCCTTACAACGGAACAGGTCATACTGCTAGCTGAAAACACCATTTTTTTTTTTTTTATTCTACTGAACAGGTGTCAGTAACTTTCCAGGCATGCAAAAGATAGATCTAATTTGACTTTAAAAAAATGTAGTTCTTATCTCTTAGGCAAAACAGTCCCGCCCTTTTGTATCAATACAGAGTCTGTTGTGCAGAGACAGTGGGCGTCACTGTGCTTATGATGTGTGTCTGAGAGCAGTTCAGACTCTGTAGTCCATGAGGCTCTTTCAACTGATGTGGTTTGGATTCCTTAGCAACTGTCACAGATCCCTGACACTTGGCCAGTGCTTATTTTTTGATTATTAGTATAGGGGAAAGAGTGATGTTGGAAGTGTCATTTTGCATCTGTTTGATTCAACATTGATAAAAGCATGAAACCAAGACATTCATCCATCTCATACAACCAGAAACAGGTGTCTTTGGATCCCCACAGTGTGCTTGACGCAAGTTAGACTCTTCAACTCTAGAAGTTTATTTTACATAGTAAAGAACCCACAGAAGGAATAGCCAGTGGAAATTAATTGCTACAGGAGAAAGGAGAGTGATAAGACATTATGTAAAAACATATATTCAGCACCTTTAATTTGGTTTGTTTTGCGTTATTATGTTTGTTTTGTTTTGTTTGATGCAGGGTAGGTAGGTAGGTCACCAACCCATTGTATCAGCTTACTGAGTTTTCGAGAAATTGGGAAGAGACAAGAAGGCAAGAGGGAGTTTTAGAGAATTTCATGATATGGTAGTCTAAGAAAGTGAAAGAATGAGCTACACTGCCAAATACTTTATTTGTAAGTAGTTGTAGGAAGATATATTGAGAAAAGTTATATGTGTACTCTTCTTAGAAGAGTTTCAGTGATATTACTGCTTAATGATCTTGATCTATGCAAATCATCAAGAAAGCTGTATTTGGCATTTTTGTATATAACAATTTTTTTAAAATAGACAAGACTAGAACTGTAATAACTATAACATATCCCAACACTGGGAATATTGATAGATCAAAGTAACAGAACCCTATTGCCAAGGTCTCGGCTTGGCACCAGAATCACGAGCCACCACACAGCTTTGTAGGTTCAAACAGCAATTCTTTATTCCAGCTCTCACACCGCCTCCACACAGGTCCAGGGACAATCGCGTTCTGCCGTCTCCGCACAATTCACCTACTACACGAGGCTCTCTCCAAATCCCATTTTAATCTCACGAGAACAAGCAACAGGAACACCCTAATCCCAGCAATAATCTTCAACCTCTAACTTCCCTAAAACCCATTATCTTAAACTGGCAACGCCTTAAACTCAAGGATCCGGTTACTTCCTCAAACCTGATCAGCTCTAAACCCGGATCCGCCTTGGTCCTTGAGCAAGGTCACCTTATTAAAGCATGCATGCAATGTCCCATTGAATGTCCTCTAAGCAGCATGGGGTACGCTTGGCAAGGAAATTTCCATGCGTCATTCCTACTTGGTAATGGCCCTCAGCACCCTATGCCCAATTCTTGTCTGGTTTTTTTTTTTTTTTTTTTCAGTACTACCCTATTCAGGGCCACCCTATTCTGTTTTTATAGTGTCTGCACTAATTTAAGAAGGTCAGTTCCTATAGCTGGGTGTGGTGGTGCACACATGTAATCCCAGCGACTTGGGAGGCTGAGGCAGGAGAACCATAAGTTCAAGGCCAGACTCAACATCTTGATGCACTAAATAACTGAGTGAGACCCTGTCTCAAAATAAAAATAAAAAAGGCTGGGTATTTAGCTTAGTGGTAAATGCCCATGGGTTCAATTCCCCCAAAAGGGCAAATTTCTATAAATTTCTACAGGTTGGAAAAGAAGAGTGACAGATTACTATTTGAGTTCTCCATTTTTCTTGCATATGTTAGGGCTTTCTTAAGGATACCACACAAAACAAATCACTATTTCCCGCTAAATAGTTGTATCTCCTTTCTTTGTTTTAGATAGTACTGACTATATCTATTTTTGCTTTATTCTTTGGTAAATTGCCCTCTCCTATGTAGCTGCATTTAGAAATTTCCTTCTGCATTATTGAGATGTTATAATACAAATGGCAGCATCCCATGAACTCTTCGAAGGGCAGAGATGACACTCTAACCATAGCCTCTGGCCCTTTTCACCAGAGGGCACCCAGTCAGCCAAGAACAAATCAGTCATTGGTTCTTTCCTAGACATGTTGGCCAGTCTCAGAATCACTGAAGACTGATGCTGAAATTCAGCATCTACCTTCAGTGCCCCAATGTCAATCCTGCTCTGCATTATTATGCTCAAGGTTCATATGAAGAAGCTGTCAGTAGTTTAAATTTATACCTGACTCAGAATCATTACAAGTTTCTTATTTCTAAAACAATCAGTGTGCATCACTTGAGTGATATTAACACAACT